AGGCGGTTGCTGTGCCCGGCCAGGCTGCCCTCAGGCTGCTGCGGCCCCAGCACCACTGCAGCAGGGCTGCTCTCCAGGCTGCCTCCTGTCTAGAAATGAGGAGAGGAGGGAGATGGAAGGACACAGGGCAGAGAGGGAGCTGGATGAGGAGGCAGCAGTGCCCATGATTCATGTGTGCCCCATCAGTTGGATGCTGCACACAGAGGGAAGACAGAGCAGGAGAGGCAACAGCAGTTGCGCTGCAAACCCTGCATTGGTGATTTGACTTTGCTTTCCCGGTAAGCATCTCCTAGTCCCAGCCTTGACAGACCAGCAGTCAGTGTGGCCCAGGGATTATATATCTGGTTGAAGGTGAAGGAAGCTGCAGGCCCTGGGACAGGGCTGTGGCACAGCCCAAGGCTTCACGTGGCCAGTCCCCTGCCTGCCCCGACTCCAGGGATTCCCCACGCTTCATGAGTCCTGCGGCATTCTCATCATAGATGCTTGTGTGTGCAAAAGTCCAACACATATGAGAGGAATATGAGACTTGCAAATATCTACATGCTCTGCAGCTACCAGAGAAGTCAGTGTATATCTGCATGTGTGCTACATGTTTTTAAAAACCAAGAGAATGATAAGCACAAAAAGCCAAAGCCTCTGTAAGAATCTGGTGGAGCAAAATCTGATATAGAGAATAAGGAGCTCAGACTTTAGCCTAGTCTGCAGAAATTGGATATTAATAGCCATTTATAATTTGCATAGCTTCATATTAAAATAAATTTTCCTCACTCCCTCTAGCATTAAGGCTGTAACAGAAATTTTTTTTCTGTTATTAATATTTACTGTAACATCATGCTGCTTTCTTCATACAGTATTCTGATAATTGCAACTAACCCGTTGCTCAATAACAAAGAGATACTAGAGAACAAAGAAATACATTTTAAAGAAAGCTATTTTCCATATGCTAAGAAAAAAAAAGCCCAGGCTTCCTCTCCCAATGGTAAATTCAGAAGATTTGCCTTTCTAGGTTTTCTTGTAACTTCTGAGTGTTCCCAAAAAAGAGAACAGAGGGCACATTTCTGTCTGTCCCTCTCAGAAGTCACTTTAATCCTTATCTAGTGTCTCCTTTTCTTCATCAAAACCTCTTATACGGGCATTTGTTTGCCTCTCATTCCCTTGCTCAGATCTTGTCTGGCCTTCCACTGCTGCCCAAGTTACACAATGTAAGTGTGTTTCACACAAATCCCAGAATAAAGTGGTGTAACAGTGGCAGGTCCTGAAGGGAATGGAAGGGATGATATCCTTGGGTGTAGCTGATTGGGCACAGATAACTTATTTTAGGATTTTGTGATCCAGTCCCCTAAAGTGGCCATTGAGAGTAAATGAACAAACCAATAACATAAAAAGTCTCTCATTAAAAGTTATGTATCTTTCGTATATATGTGGGAGAGACAGGCAGAGGCAAGTAACAGGAAAACAACTTCCCCCTCAGAAAACATCAAGAACATTTTAAGAAAGCTATAAATCTGATTGATACTCCATAGAAAAAGAAATGTAAATCCAACCAAGTTGGAAATAGCATATTGAAGAACTGCCTTTATTTCCCTATGGAGCCAAAAGTACGTTCCTGTAAACGATGGAGGGGGAAAATGCTCTTAGAGCTGCCCACAGTGAATCCAGCATTGGCTCCACGTGATGCTCCAAGGACCATGGCAATGGCTCTTCCACCAGTGGTCAGTGGGTAGACTGAGCTCTTATCTTGCAGATTTCCAATCCTTTGCCTGCGGGGGGAAGAATCGACACAAGCTCTTAAGGAGAACATAGGGGCAGCATCCAGCCCTAGCTGTGACTTCCAGCAAGGCCACCCACCACCTACACTTTGCAGGAAAAGAGCACCTTTCCCTCCCTACAGCCCTTTTCCAGAAAAGTCCTGAGAGAAGTGCCATGTTCTTATAAAACTAAGCTGCTGGACAAGTCCATCACTGGCTCAGAAACTTTCCAGTTGTACAAGACAGTGATGGTTAGGCAAAGACTTAATAATCCACACAAGATGTGCTGGGAAAAGTCCTGCAGTAGTGTAAGTCAGAGCACTTCTTCTGAAGGCAAGGGACCTGTGGATTCAAGCTCAATAAATTCACCTTCCTGCTGAGAGCCTCCCATGTAACAGAGACATGATGTCCAGAGCAAAAATAGAGAATTAACCAGATTCTGTCAACTAGGCATGTTTATGGAGGTATGTTATCAAAAAAGTAATATTTAACACTTTTGGTACATTTGAACGTGGCCTAATTTTTGTCTCCCCTTAATCTAAGAAAATGGCAACTGATTCCTCAAGTAGACCTGTCTAGTTGAGGTCAAGAATCAGTAGAAAGATTTCACAAGCTTAATGTCCATCAGGAGCAAAGTGAGACCTTTGGTGGAATGAGTCACTTTTGAGCATGAAAAGTAATTTCCCCCTGAACCATCTACTGCTGAGTTTAGGGAACAGGATGGGAACTGGTGTTGGGCCTTCAGTGAACTGAAGCTCACACAAATCTTCAGAGTCATTTGGGTTACAAAGCAAGTAACAAGAAGGCTCATTTCTGAAAATGTTTTCTGAGTTTTCTGTATGCCTTCTTGCAGTGCCTGTGAAATCATTTTAGTCCAGATTTTGCATTATCCTGGAAAGGAAGGTTAAGGTGCTATTATTATTATTGTTGTTGTTGTTGTTATTATTATTATTATTTTATTATTATTGGGTTTTAAGAGGTACAGAGTATTGAAGCATCTCTTTCCAGGCCATGATGCAGTAAGTCTGTAAGGAACTGTAATCATACCTCAGGAGATTATCTCTCTTTATAGAGTACTCTGCCCCAGCATTTCTACCTTAAAAAAACCCAAACCAAAACAAAACAAAACAAAAAAAACCCACCCCAAACCTGGAATTAAGAAAGCCTGTATTTTTATGAAAAGAGATTGAAGAATGTCCTTCATTATGAGCACCTACTTGCTCAACTAGTGCAGAGGCCAAAGCCAATGAACTTGCTCTGGATTGGCAGCAGGAACCATACCATGTGTACCTGTGGACAGGTATGGCCAACCCCTCTGCTCAGGACAGCGGATATCAAGTTGCAGATGTTACTTCCTTGGCCCCTTTTTATGAGCAGTACATTCATTACAAGAAAGAAATCTGATTTTTTTACCAGTATTTAAAAAGAAAGTGAGCCCCATGCCACTTCCTGTGGCAAGCAATACTCTGCAGCATTGGATAATAGACCGAAACCTAAAAATCTGATTGCTCCTAGTGCTACAGAGAAGTAATGCAGTGTGATAGACACTGTGGAAATTTGGGATGCCAGTGGAAACTTTGGTTTATAGCTCACGCTGTTTTTATCCTTCTTTTTGTAAGTATGTGCTACTGCCACAGTCAGAGGCAGGCTGCTGGGCTAGGTGAACATCTGATCTGAGCTGTTCCACTTAGGTCTTGAGAGAGTTAAAATACATATGCATATGCATACACATATTATGTGTGCGTGGTTTATGTACATATGTATGTATTTTATGTATTATATATTTATAGTATATGTATTATACTATAGTCCATATTAGGCTTGGTATAGTCTCTGATAGGTTTGGCTCCTGTCTCACATGGGCCAGCTTTATCACTTGTTTTCTGGAGAATTTCCTCTTGATTTATTCTGTAAGTGAGAGTAAAGCTCACTGTATGTTGAGCGAGCAGATGAGCATCAAAAATAATGCAGCACCTAAAGTCCTTGGAAACAGCTGTATGTTTACTGACCTCCGCATTGCCTAACTCAGTCTACTGAACTTGGAAAAGCAGCAAGACCATGTCTGTGAGACACACAGCATTGCATGCAAGGAACCAGCTTTCAAAGTTTGGGGAAGCTTGCTTTTGTGGTGAGGGACTTTTGTGGGACTGAATTGCACATAGCCTGACAAATCATATGAAATGTCCAGCTACAGAATGACAGCGGGGCAGCTGACAGTGTTAGGAAGGTCAGTCTGGAAAAGAGATATGTGTTTGGATGCAATTTGACGTGGCTTCATCTCAAAGCAAGGCAGGGCAGGTGTTTTTATATAAAACCAAATGTCCATGGCCTGATGGATCAAAGCTTTGTAGATGAAAACCAGTTCCTTGAACTTCTTCCAGAACCCATCAACTCTTGAATATTCAGATACTGCACAAATTTCAGTGTAAGCAATATGTAATGGGAAAGGCACTCCAGAGAGAACCCATGCACCCCAGCACTACTGTCCTTCCTGCACGGCAAGTGGAGAAGCGTCGTCTGCGTGAGCTGCAGGTCGTGTCACAGCTTGCAGAGCATGTTCAAGCAGCTTGCTGTCACAGCAACACAGGATGACTTTGGAGAGCTTCAGACTGAAGGTTACTGAACCTCTCTTCCAGATGCTTGTGTCACCCATGACTGGTCTGGACTGAATCCTTGCTACCTAACTCAAAGTCAGCTAGGAGACTGCAAATTATTTCTGCTGACTCACCTGGGTTACAAGCCTCGTTGGAGGACCCCCAGCACATACAAGTGGCAGCCTCCTGAGTGACCTGGCAAGTGCCTTCTCAGAACTGATGAACAAGACATGTAAGACAATGTCTCACAACGTGCCTGAAGAAACAGCGGTCCCACACAGTTCCTCTGCTTTGAATGCCACAATGACAACCACACCTGTGAACTAAACTGCTTGAAATTCTTCTAAATAATATTTTTTTATATATTTTTGCATATTTTTTACACCAAGTAGTTTTATCAAATTTCCACCCTTCTGGTTTGGACAGACTGAGGGAGTATATGCAGTCTGCATTTTCCTGTTGACACTTAGGCAGTAATTATTTAAGCAACCAGAAGCATATTCAGATCAGCACATGGGGTGAGAAGTATCGGAGGAATCTGAAGATACAACAGGCACCATAACAGCTGCTTCATAGAGCCTAAGTATCAGTCACTGCTTCATAACATCAGTAGCAACAGATAGACTCTTGACCAGTCGCTTCAAGTTTTCATCACTGCAAAAAAGAATATTAGATCCTGATTGTGGCAGAAAAAAATACTGGCAGCCTCCACTCCTGTTGGCCAGTTCAAGCCAGTCCAATATCTGGAGGAACAGCTCTGGCTAGCAGTCAAGTAAAGACAACCCAAGGTTTTTCCCTGCTCTGTGCTCCATTCTGCTTCTGCAGTAGTGAATGCTTCTGACCAGATTTGGGGAAATTGTAGCTACAGTATGGTGTGCAGATGGTTCACAGGAATAAAATCGTGGGAGTTCATCACCAGGTTTTAACAGATAAGGATGGATCGAGCGGTGCCAGCTTTGCTGTACAACGATGCTCTGGTAGGACTGCCTTTGCTTTCCTCGCGCTGATGGCGTGCTCTGATAAAAGCCAAACCCCACCACTGGCTGGCTCTGGTGCTGCCGCCTGTGCTCTGGGCACTCTTCTGTCCCGCTTCCCCTTCACTACCTGTGGAGGCCAGTGAGACTGAGGCGTAGGAAGTGGATTTCCCTGAGGTGCTAACAGCTAACGTGTGCGGGCACACTCGTGTGAGCACAGAGGCAGGCTAGAGGCTGCCCAGTGAAGCTCACATAGGTCCTCTGCACTGGCACATGCAGTCACACACTAAGACAGGTCCTCAGGACAAAGACAGGGAGCTCAGCGAGGCCCTTCTCCTTGAACAGGACAGGAAAGCCTGTGTGCACTTCCTGAAACCCCATTTTTTCCCCCCTGATGCTCCTCTTGTGCTTGGTCTCTGTTTCGGCTACCCTGGTACCGGCTTTGGTCTCCTGCGTGTCCCGGAGCGTGAAGCAGCGATTACGTTGCAGGGGTTTTCTTCTTTTGATTCAATGTCTGGACAATGTGAATCCATTTCTGGCAAGATACTCTAAGTACTATAGTACCAGAAAGGGTAACACGTCAGGGCCTGATGCAGTGGGAAGGGTGGGAGGGGAAGACAGTCTTCCCATCTTGGCAGGTCCTTCCACCAACCTGACACCGTCATCCCAGTGTCAGCAGACCTGTAGAGCAAAGTTTCCATTTTCTACCCATTCTGGCCATTGCTGAGCTTCTCAACAGCCATCGTTCCTTAACACAAAACAAAAGTCCCCCTCCTCACCCTTACAGAAGCCAAAACATCTCAGCCTCTGCTATTGGCTTGGTACCCACTTGCTCTTGGGGGCTCCCTGTGCCGGCGGAGCAACACCCTGGCGCAGCTGTCCCACCCCCTTACCCCAGCTGCAGCTGCAGTGGTTACCTGTGCTGCTAAACACTTTCTCGAGGTCTTGCACACAGCTGCCAAAAGCTTGTGACTCCATCAAGAGCTTTTAAACAACCTTTAAAACACTGTTAAGTGAAGATGACACTAATGCAATTTTACCCCCCCAAAAAAAATGAGGGGCTCTAGGGACACACACAGACACAAAAAAAAAACCCCTCAGGCTCAGTTTTATTCACCAAATAGGAGTTTTGGTAAGTTTCTGTGAAGGAACGCAGACAAATTTCAGTCTCTTCCTGCACCTGCTTTTGCCTGCAGTTTCAGAGCTGTAAATCCCACTGACATTAATAGCACGGTACCTGGCCAAGTGGTGACCACACGTGCCTAGGGAGATCTAGGACCAGGAGATGCACTGGAATGGTGCAAAGCAGCATGGTGGCAGCTTTGGATGGTCAGCCTGACTTCCAGCTGCTGTTCTTGGTTTGCTGCTGCTGCTGACAGGTCAGGCTGGGCTGCATTTTGTATTTGTCAGCACCACACCACGCTGTCATTTTCTGCCATGGAATACAGCCAAATAATCTGAGGTTCAGTTGATAACCATGTAGCAGTGAAACTTGATTTAGAGACATGTGACCATAGAGCCAATAGTCTGCGTTAGTTATTCCTTCCAAACGGCACAGCAAAAATCTTCTGTTTTGAAACTGAGCTTTTCATAACCATGTTTTGAGCGATACTATAAACTGCAGTTAAGTGGTTTTTGCTTGTGTCTGTGGCACTAATCTCAGTCTTTGTCCTGCTCCAGTTAATAGGCTGCATTATTGGCAGACAAGGCAGTAAGATAAATGAAATCAGGCAGATGTCAGGAGCGCAGATCAAGATTGCTAATGCCACAGAAGGCTCCGCAGAACGACAAGTTACAATCACAGGATCCCCTGCAAACATCAGCTTAGCACAGTACCTCATTAACGCAAGGTAAGTTTGCTTTGTAAGTGATAATGCTTCTGCGAGATTGCTCTGTCTGCTCTCTGGCAAATGTCTGTCCTGGATAGATCCAGAAAGTTGCTTCGCGGTGTCTATTTTGCATAGTGTTTCTCAATTCCTAATGATTTATAAAGCCTGTATCGTTAGAACCTGTGTTTGCTGTTGGTTTATATGGAAAGGAGCTTAATCCGGTGCAATTCCAGGTACATGTTGAATGACAAGAGCTGAAAAATCTGACTACTCACATTAGCATCCATCTAAAATACAGGTGGATAAATTAAATGAAATGACAATCATAAATTCTTTAGAAGAAAATACTTTTCACAGACCTATTTTACTATCCTAAATGGCAAATATAGCAAAACAGATTGCAAACCAGATTTAATTTGCTAACTGGAAATTGCCACTTAGAGTTGATATTAAACTGACGTTTGCTTGCTAAGAGGCACGGGATTTGTTTTTCAGAGACAGCTTCACAAATTTGTAAAAAGCTTTCCCTAATGAGATGGGGTGAAACTATCTGCTTCTCCACGTCTCTGTGCCAGAATTAATGAAAGCACTGGCTGTTTAGCTGAGCCATTGCAACGGCTTAAGTCTCTATCAGTTTTGATATGATTATTTAGAAAAATATTAAAATTGATACCATATTTACTTGCAATTATCCTGAGAAGAAAGTGCAATGGATATAGTGCTGTCTCATAGATTTACTTGAAAATGGTGGACCGAGGTAATATACTGTGGGGAGGGGAGTATCGAAATATTTTATTGGGGTTTTTTTGTTTATTTTCCATTTTCCCAAGCAGAATACTGTGACATGAATCAAGCTTTGTGTTTAACTATGTTTGCTGTTAAGGTAGTAGAAATTACGGGATTTATATGGAGGGCTGTAGACGTAGCAGGTCTACAGTCTCCAATGGTCCAACCTCCTCTCTGGCCCAGTTCTGCAGTGCAGCACTGCAAGCCACTGTAAATGTCTTAATGGGGGAAAAGAATCTTTGTGCAGCTCTGTGTTAATAATTCAGTTTGGAAGTAGTTTCCTATGGAAAGATATATTGAGGGATGGTGTTGTGAAACCTAAGATAAGCTGTTTCCAGAATCCTAAAACAACCTACAGCTCTTTTGATTTATATTCTTTGTAGCAAATATAAGTCACTTCCATAAGCCCTGTAATCAAATAAAAATGTGTTCCCTCCTTTAACCCTTAAGGATATGTTCTTCTCTTGGTGTTCAGGGATTCCCCACACATCGAGACGAGAATAGACCCCTTCATTTTTAGTTGCACAAACACCATATGGCATGCATCTGGATCTCAGAAGATAACAATTTAAGATCTTCAAGACAGCTAAAGCATGCAAATAAAATAATGCACTTGTTAATGGAGTTGCAGTGAGCTGCTCACCAGAGACAGAAACTCTAGTGAACAAACCTCTGTTTGACTCACTTTAGAAAATCCTGTGAACTCTCACACTTCTGTTTATTACTGTTATTTCGATGAAATGGGATATATATATATATATATATATATATGAGGTCTTTTAACATACTTTTGCAAAGAAGAAAACTTCTCAGCAATCATATACCACGGATACGCTACCTATACCCTGTGAAACCAGAAACAAAATATTTTCTTCCTGTTGAATTTCTAGATAGAAGTCATTTGTTGCCATCATCTATAATAAACCATCATCTATTACTATGTACCATGTGTTGAAACTGTATTTAGATAAAGTGACTTCATTTGTAAATGAAGACTCTTTAAAGTAATGTATAATAAATTAAGCTCTAAGGTAACATAGGACATTAAGGCGGCTTTTTCTTTTTAAAAAGTGACACTGTTCCAGATTTCTCTTTTCCCAAGAGAAATTCCTGTCCAGTTAGGTGCTGCCACAGCACCAGTGCAAGTTTGCAGTTGCACTGGAGGAAAAACTGAGAAACTTTGAGCAAGAGGGAGGTCTGCTCCAGCTGGGGTTTAGGTGCTCGGAGAGGTTCTGAGAGGCAGATCTCAGCTGCCGATGCACACTGGGAGCCAGTTTCAGTGTCTGTCAGTCCTAAACCTGCCACCAGTACTGCTGTCTCATTTAAAGATGTTGGCATGAAACAAATTGTGTTGGGGAAGAGCTGAGTACAGTACCTAGGCTGCCCAAGATATAGTCTAGAACGTCAAAAAAATAATAAGTAAAAGCCATACAAGCATTTGGGGTAAGGTGGACTTTTTTTCTTTCCTCTCCCGCACAAGATCTGGTTGTTCTCATGGATTTGGATTCCAGGGCCAGTATTTCTGCATAAATCACTGTCTCACAGCAGCATAGGATATAAGGAAAAAAAAATCTTTCCACTGTATTCCTGAAACAAACCGTGTATATCTTTAAACTATTCTCAACCAAAGCTGCCATCTATAGAATAATTTATCAAGTTAAGACTTTCATTGCGGTCTGGTGTTGAATATGTACATAATATACTCTAAGTTATAGCTATAGAAATACATTGATACAAAATCAAGACAGATATTTAAATCTTTCTGAAGTATTGTTTTGATTCTGTATTGATTACTCGACTGCTGACCTCTGTATGAGAACATGTCCCACTTTGTTTGCAGTAGAAGTGTCTTTTCTTCCTGTAAAATCTTCTCTCTCTTAACTGTTCTCCACTGTAGTAACTGGATTTTCATTATCCAATTCCATCTTGTAGCTTTGATTATGAATGAATCAGAGTATAGATTTCCTGTGCAATATTTGACTTCAGATTATAAATGAATTGTAGCCAGCAGCACTTTCTCCTTTGAAGAGCAGTTTCCTGAAGATATATTTTACAGCCATTTTGATGAAAGGTTAATTCACAGAACTAACAGCACCACTAAAGCCACACTTGAGCTTTATTCCTTTTACCAGTTTCGGGTAATGAAGGATGTGGCTGTTGGTGTATGTATTCATAAAGTGTAGTTCCTCAAAGGGGAGTGTAAAATTGGCATTATTAAATCCAGTATGAAGTTACCTCATCTGCTTTCACATTAAATTTTGTTGCATCTACAGTTGGTTCAGGAAACATCCACTGTCACAAGACAGCTGATAGCTAACCTGACATACTTCACCTTATGTATTACCACCAGTAATAAATGTGAAGCAGGGAAAAATTAAGAGCTTTAATTGTACCTGTGCAAGTACACCAGAGACAGGGAGTTTGAGTGGCTGCTTCCAACACCAGCATTTAACCTGTGGGATCTAGTCTCCCTGCTGGTGCAGGAGAAAGCTCAGGTTCAAATATTCCCATATCAGTAAGGATTTTTTTGGTTTTGTTAAATGCAAGGTAGGCAAATTTGAAATCACTGAAATACTGAATCCTGCATTATCTTTCTATATGCCTTCATCCCAGAATAATACTGAGTTAGGAATATAAAAAAATCCGACTGTATAAACTGATTTTTTCAAAACCTACTAAGGTAACTCCTACACCCCAAGGCGAGGATGTACACTGGAGTTGGATCCACTGATTCAGTATTCTTGATGTAAATCCCACTGCGTGAGTAGATTGCTAGCACGGCTAACAACACAAGGATGCTCTTCTCTCTGCAAACAACAGCTCTGCTGCGAGGGTTAGAAAAATTCTGAGATGCTCATCCACGGGGAGAGATAACCACCACAGGGTAGGAAAACCAAAGCTTTACTTCCCACAAACGGGTCTGCATTTCATGCACTTGCCCTCCTCCCCTCCCAGCCCCGCAGAGAAGCTCTGTGTCTTCCAGCTTCCCGGCAAAACCCACCATGGAGTTAACGCTCCAAGAACCCTCTTTATTTTGCAGGAAGGAGAGGAGTTCAGTGTTCAAGTGTTTCCCTATCCCCTCTGCCCTCCTCTCCCAGCTCAGACTCGCTTCAGGTATCCTTTAGCCTCACCTTGAGCAGCAGTGCTTTGCAAAGCTTCAGTCCAACATCCCCATCCCCTGTTTAGCGCCGGTTCACCGCTGGCATCCCGACCCTTGCGCAATGCAGGCAGGCCTTCTGGTCATCGCCTTCCTCTGGCCACGAGTAGACCAGGGGCTGTTGTTCACAACTGCATGTAAGCCTGAGGCCAGGAAACACAAGGTTCTCCCAAGCCTTGAGTAGGACGACCATGCTCCTCTCCTTTGTCCCGAGCATGGAGCCTGGCTTCAACTGCTGTCTAACCCTGCACGCCCGGCCCCTAGTGCCAACAGGGACCAGCAAAAACCCTGCACTGGGAAGCTTCCCCCAGCTCTGATGAGACTTGATAAGAAAGCAGCCAGTCAGTCGCCCACTGGTGCTCTGCTCTGGGAGGGAGAAGCTGCTACAGCGCCTCAGTTCACCTCAGGAGAAAGCCCAGGAGCCTGACAAGTTACTAATTACTGAAAAAAACCCCAAACTTGGAATTAATACATGTATAACTGTAGCTAGCAAAGATTCTTTCTAACCCATAGTCCCATTTACAAGTTAGGCTGCCATGCCTCCCAGCTAGTCAAAATGCAAAATACATCCCGAAATTAGCATTTAGGTGGTTTGCCAACCCAAAAGCCAGAGTGCAACAAACATGCGGCAAAGGGAGGATTTATCTAGGTAAACATTTTGCCATCTGAAACAACAACGCGTCTTTGGAATTACTGTATTTTACTGTCTAAAAATGTACAGAAAAGCCAAAACTCATCGTGCCTGCCAGTGGGTGGAGTTAGACTAAAGTGAAGGTGGTTTGATAGCTACATCCTCCGAAGAGCCCGTCAGTGCCTGGGGCTCGGAGGTGGGGTCAGTCTGAACTTCCTGGTGCCGCGGGGTCCGTCTGACGATGTGTGTGTTGTATCTGTGTAGCACCTTGTCTGTCAGCTGGTAAGCTCTGTTCTGTTCGCTGTAACCACTGCCACGAGCTCAGAAAGGATACTGCTGCTCTGGAAGCCGGGGTGATTTTCAGTCTTCCTTTTTACTCATTTCCTTATAATTAGATTGCATAAATATTTTGTTGTGATTTAAAAAAAAAAAAAAAAGTCTGGGGAAAGTACAAACCAAAGTGAACACACTGGCTCATCAGGCTTGTTTTATATGAAAAATGCACATTGACCTCGCAGTGAATGAAATTAAAAATTAACTTTAAAAAAAAACAAAAAAACCCAAACTTTATGCCTTAGATGGAAGCAGCAAATCATTGCTCAGTCTCCTCTCATCCTAGCAAAATGATGAAGGGTACTATTTACATCACAAAATTGACAAATTGAAAAGTTACCAAAACCCCCCGCGTCCCCCTTTCAAAAAATACTGTAATTCTGAAAAGCGAAATTCACCATATCAGTGCTGGGGAGTAAACTGCATAGTTATTTTAAGTTTTCTTTTAAGTTTTGTTTTTTCCATCTTTTTGCCATTACCTGCATTCTTTAGATTTCTTTTTTCATATATAAAATGAACTAGCAGACCCCTCCTCTCCCCCAAGCTCTTCTTTTTTTTTTTTCCCTTTTATTTTTTTTTGGAGAGAACTTTAGAGTCTCAGTAATGTTTTCGTCATCGAATCATGAAAAACCCTTTTGTTATTTCTCTTCTTTAACACATAACATGTTCCTCCTTTGACCCTCATTTTCCCTTTTTTTCTCTCTCTCCCTCCCTCTCGTCTGTCCCCCTCGTACCCACCGATCTAATCCCACCCTTTCGTGGTTGCTCTCCCTCCCTTCCTCCCTTCCTCCTCCTCCTGGCCCCACCGCCCTGGCTGGACCCTCCCAACCTGTTTGTTCCTCTTCCTCTCTTCGTTTGCAGCTTAGAGATGGCTAAAGTCAGCACCCAGACCGCTTCCGTCACGACCCCTGTTGACCTCAACATGAACCTCTCTCAGTCTGCCACCCCTACCTCCACCCCCACCTCCATGGCCGTGCTGGCGGGCGCCTCCGCCGTTACCGTCAGTACCCCCCCTCCCCTACCAACTCTGCCAACCACCCACTATGCCGTTCCTGTCTCCAGTCTGCTTGGCATGAAAACTGTCCCACTCCTGGCACTAAATGCCGCGGCCGCCGCGGGGGCCACGGGGAGTTTGTCCGCTTACACTGCCAAAATTCCTTCGACGAGCGGGGTTAAGAAATCTGACCGCCAGAAGTTTGCTCCATATTGAAGGGATGAGACACAATGCAAGCTTTGCCAGCTCTACCAAGAGTCTCTGGTAGATCCTAGTTACCAAGGAAACAATACGGCATCTTTTCTTTTCTGTTAAATTGCTAGTGTTAACTGTTGCCGACTCAAGTCGTCTTCCGCTCTCCATAACGACTAACAAACACCCGGGCACCACCTACCAACTAGTTCCAACAGTGGGCGGGCGCCAGTGCCGGGGACTGTCCCTGTCAGCCCGGGGGCTTTTCCCCCGCCACGATGCCATCCCTCCACCGGGGCTGGGGCCGGGGCTGGTCCCCCGGCAGCCCCACAGGCCGCCCCCACCCTGGCAAAGAGACACCTGGCGAGAAAGAGAAAAACATGAATTGGGCCAAGTTTTGCGAGCCGGCTCCTGCTCAGGCAATACTGCCGGGCATATAAATACACTTAGAGCCGTTTGACTGGATCCCTCCCACGCCAGAACAGTTTCCTATGGCAAACTGGCACCTCTGATCAATTTTTCAATTGCTAGAGCCTGCAAATCTGGCACTTGTGCTGACGGCTGGTGCCCCTGAAATCCCGCGTAAGGTGCTGGCCCCTCGGTCATTCCGCTGCTCTCAACAGCCCTGAAGACTCCCGTCTTCCCTGCGAGCAGGAGAAGGGGGCTAGAAAGTAGCAAACCTCAGGTACCTCTGCGTACAACAAATCAAGCTTACGGGTCCAAGACAAACTCCTAAATTAAAATCATTGGGAGAGAACAAGAAAAAGACACCATGCGCCTGTGCCTTTGCACCGCATTGTTCTTTCAAAGGGTGCACCAGTCTGGTTTGGATAAACATCATTTTAAGAACTCCGCTTTAGGGAGGGAGAGCAGGCTCCTCCTTTTGCACTCCTCAGATGTTTTCTTCTTCTATATACCCTCAAAGTACTTGTTTCTGCAAGTACTTGGTAGTAGGTACAAATCAGACATGCTCAGTCACTGTTCTGGTACCCCTTCCTGCATAGATTTTGTTCAGCCAAAATGATAACTGTTAGGTTTCTCTAAATACCTCCCTTTTAACTCACCCCTGTTCATGCAATCAGATTGCATTGTAATTACAAATAAAATCTAGTGCCTATCAAAGCACATTCCAAGGTTGCTGCCTGGACAGAGTACATCCCTTTAACAAGAACGCAAAGATGTTCAGACTCACTAAAACCAAGTAAAACCAATTGCAGCCAAGCCGCAGAGAGCTGGGTGATGTAATGGCTGGTTGCTAGCTGTTGGAACTAGTTTTTAACTGCATTTTCTGTTTGTCCATCCACCTTCTTTTTAATTTCTGTTGCATAGCTCAGTAATGCAATATTGTTTTCCTCACCACTTCCAAGTCCAGAATCCCATTAGCCCGCCATGTTCATCCACTTTGCACTCCTTGGACACAAAGCTTTAACAATTGAACTGTATTCAGTGCATTTTAATATAAACTAAAACCACAATGCAAATGCAATACTTTTTAAAACATGGTACTTCAAAGTGTGTTGTTATTATTATTGTATAGGGCTAAGTACTATCTCAGTATTTTGTGTCATTTCTGTATTCTGTCGGCTTTTCTTCACCTTAGTACCTTTGCACTAAGTTTTGTCACTGTAACCATTTGTAGAACTGCCGTTGTTCCAGTTTGCACTTATCCAAATGGGGGTTTTGGTTGGTTTTGTTGGGTTGGGTTTTTTTTTTGTTTGTTTTGGTTTGGTTTTGGGTTTTTTGTTTGTTTCTTTGTATATAATGAAGGAAAAACTGGAAATAATGTCAAGGTACCTCAGCCATTTAACAGCTCTAGAAAACTGCTGTAAAATTGTTCTGGACTATTGTAACTGTTTCAATAACTGACATTTTAAAAAAACCAACACAAACAAACAAACCACCAATCTCTGTGTGAGAAAACTTACCTGCATTGAAATGCTATTCTATGCTGGTTGTACTAAAGTGTTATTTTTTTAATAGTGAGAAGATTTTTTTTTTCTTTTTTTTGCCTTTTTTTTTTCCCTTTTGTTTTCCTCATTTTTGTTCCTACATTTTAGGCTGTCTTCAGAAGTTACTGGCCTGGGGGCTCTCTAATGTATCTCATCATGCCCTAGTGCATTAGCCACCAGACAGGACTTTTCCAAAGCCCCATGAGACAATGCTTTCTATGGACTAATCTACAGAGGAGTTTCTGCCATTTCTAACTTTCTTATTATTCTGAGACATCAAAAGAAAATCCTTCTTTTACTCTTTAAGCAACTGTGCTTCCTAACTCTTGTGTTGCTTCATTACTGTTACAGTTTTAACACTGTTGTGGCTCATAACATAAAGCAAAGAAAAGCTATTTTCGGAGGTTAATTTTCATTGATGTTCATGCTTTGGCTAATCTGTATAAAAGCATGGGCCGTTAGTGTTCTAAACCACTGTATTCAGCTAGAGACTTGACAGTAAATTAAATGAGACGTTTTTATAAATAAATTTTTTTCCTGATTTAAAAAAAAACCAGACGTGGTAGCTTTGTGCATACAACTGTTGTGTTGTTTAAACTTTGTTCTTTGTAACCAAGTTGCTAATTTGTCGTTTGAGAAACACTATTTTATGGATTGTCAAACTAAGATCATAGACAAATTGCTTGTTTTCATTAATGATTAAAGGTTTCATATAATCACGCTTAAGGTCCCAGTGCTCATTGGGAAAGAGCGTAACAACTGTGCAATACTGGCAACGTTAGAAAGTACATTAGCCCATTGTCAGGGATAATGAGTCTTTTCATTATTAATGGAGCCAGATTGTGTAATTAGTACAGTGAGCAGGATTTCTGCAAAACCTTATTTGGTTTTTAACACAGTTGCTCTTGGAGAACTTCTCACATCCCATAGAAAAGACAGAATTTGACTTCTTGTAGACTGGTTTCTCTCTCTCATATTTTCCCATACTGATTTTAAGATCAGATACTGGTGAAAGAAAAACAAGAGCAAAAGAACAAACTTGGGTACAGACTACAATATTGCTAAGATCCTTCGTATTTTCCCATTCCCAGCAGCCCTGCTCAGTGACGAGGCTTCTAGACAGCCACAAAGCCAGCCCAGCAGCGGGGAGAGCATTACAGTTTGCATTATAAAGGGAGAAGGGAGAGCTGGCCTAGGGAGGTGTCTCATCCTGCCCTGAGACGCTGCTTGAGCCATTCAGCTCCTCCTGCAGCCACAGCCTCAGGTTCTCCCTTCACAGGGAAGGGGCTGGCCCCGAGCAGTTGCTGCGCCCTGGCCACCTCTCCTCTTAGGGCATCGGCAATTCTTTGACAGTTACTGCTTAACCCTCATGAGAAAGCAGAGTTTCTGACAGTGCAAGTGAGTAGCATCCTTAATTATGTGAGACTAATTCTACTGCCCCCAGCCCTGCTCTGCTATGCTCTATACTTGCCTCCTGGTATTTAGCTCGAGGTCCTGGTCCCCCTCACTGCCCCAGCGGAGTAGTTGTGGAGCACATCACTGTTGTTGTCCATGGACTCTCAGGGTACAGAGGGCTCCTGTGGGCTGGGTCTTGAGTCTGAGCCTGGAACTACGGTATGACCAAGATGTGCATACAGACCTGGAAACCTGTAGAAGTCAACAGCTTTTTCAGTACAGATGCAGCCACAGAGCAACTCTTGACAAGAAAGGCTGCCAAGGAGGATTGCAGAGTGTTGTATCCCAGTGCCCAGGGAGACTTAACCAATGTTGAATTAGCTACTCCAACCCTTAGGTTGGAAGAACTATAGGCTGTAGTACTAACCTTGATAAAAATTCTGTGTTACTGTTACTTAAAAAACATTTTTTTAATTACTTATAATGTATTTAACTCTTTCCTTGTGAAAGGAGAGCGGAAGCTGCTTTCACAGCAGGGACCTCTGTAGTCTTCATTTCCTAAACATCAAAATCTATTTCTCTGCCTTGCCTGGCTACTGTAAATGAAAAAAAAAAAAGAGAGAGAGAAATATTATTGCAGCTCAGCACTAAGTAGGTCAAGGCTCTATTCTCCCAGTAAATCTGCCAGGCAAAGGGCAGCAGCAGCTCTGTGCTGTATAGCACCTTTCACAGAAATAATTCCCGTATACCTTGCAGAATTGACTAGAACAGAGATTTAAACAAACTAGTGCAGGGGCATGTTTGTGTGTGGAATGAGGAAAGATGAAGACACATGGACAAAGGAAGAAAAAAAAAAAAGTTGCCTTTTGAGAGATATTTTGCAAAAAATACAAGCAGAAATGTCATAAAATCTAGGCTAATTGAGGACTCATTCGATTTTAATGTGATAGTGAAACTATCACGTTATTTTAGTTGGAAAAGATTTCTGAATGGCAAGAAAGTTTCTGGACAGCATTAGTATAGAAAAGAGGCAAACAAAACACAAGACAGTACATCTGAAGGGAGGGGAAAAAATAAAAAAGTAGAAAAATATTATCCAAGATGGAAAACTAAACCACTTGTGCCCAAAGGCAGATGTAAGAGGAAGCATGTACCCAGTGTGAAAAGGTCACTGCCCTCTTGCCTGGCTACTGTAAATGGAAAAGTAACTGTGAGTTTCCAGATGAAAAGTAACAGAAGTTCTGCAGCTTCTGCATCACCCAATCAGTATCAGAATTCTGTCAAACATCTCAAACGAATCTGAGCAGTTCTGTTGTGTTTCTCTAGTGAAAAAAAATAGTGAGTAGGAATGCTGGCTGGAGTAGTCAACCAGAAAGACAACAAGGAAAGAAAGTTAGAGGTATTCAGCCACATAACCTAGTCCACTGCTAATATGCAGAGTGCTTTCTGCTCTCAGACATAGCCAGAAGGCATCTTTGGGCCCCAAGGTGCCCATTTGTGACAGCGCAGGCTCCTAGGAAGCTAACCTCATAAAGCTCACTGGTACCACAAATGTAGGCACCTGGGAAGTGCCTCAGCCTCACTAGGATGGGCAAGGTGTTCCTGTGAGATTTCACAAGACAGTCTTAAAGGATGTGCTGAACCTTCCCCACCCAAACTAGGCAGAAATGGAAGCTTCCTTGTTTTGGTTTGGTTTGGGTTTTTTTTTTTTTTTCTCACTTTTAAATACCCAACAGCATTAAAATAAGGGTGTTTCTCTGGGATGAGGGAGACCCAAATCCAGTTTATTCCATAGCCTCAATCTCAGCTGAATGTATTTCAGGACTACTTACATACTTAGAACAGGACCTACCCCTTTCTCAGACAAGTGTCATGATTATCAGACAAGTCACACCTGCTCCCTAATTCCATCATTTTACAGTGACCCAGCTTCTACAGGAAAGACTGCAATTGTTAGGCTGCCCACCTACATCAGAGGAGCTGTGCGTTCAAAGGACAGCATAGAGAGGAAAGATTGGAACACAGAGCTCTTACATCCTCCCTAAGTGCTGTAACCACCAATTATGCAAAGCACTGGTCCCTCAACTATATTTTTGGAGGAAAGACCTGGTTTAGATGTCTGCACAAGGGAATTGCTCACATTTCTTTTTCCAGCTGACAGGCCAGGATAGTTATAAGTGAAGTGATGAACAGAAGATTAATTGAAGGCAGATGCTGAAAAACTGCTTTACAGGAGAAAGTTTCAATCTCTTGGCCTGAGCAACCCTTTCTAGGGATACAAGTACGTACTGCCTTGCTTGCCCCAAAGCATACTTACTCCTTGGCTCCAGGAAGGAATGCAGTAATGTTGATTAAATCAGTTTCTGCATCAATGCCTGTGTCCTGTCACTCTAGAGACTGGTATATCTCTCAAGGCAGTAGCTAAAGTGAAAGAGAAGTGTCAAATTCATCTGCTGTTACCTAACAAAAGGGCATTTCTGAAATGTTACATACTCACATTATGGCTTCTCCTGAAAGCTACAGCATGATTCCTGTTGGTTCAGTGTCTGATTTCCTAGTGCAAGTTTTCTTGATTACAAGAAAAAAGAAAGTATTTTTATGTGCTTAAACTATTTGAGTAACATGACTTTTCTCATTACAGCTATTTTTAGCCTAGTGTTTTAAGATTATAAAATGTAGATGATTTAATTACAGTGGTATGTAATAAGCAAAATTTGTCTCTCCTCAAATTGAATTTATTGGTAGGGGGCTGGACCAAAGCTAATGTTAATGTTCTTTTTAACCAGTGTTTGTGATTCTGAAGCAAATTTTGAAGTTATATGCTTTAGTGGCGGAATGACAAGCAATCACGTTAGCAAATGAGAACACTGTTGTGGTTGTTGTTGTTGGTTTGGTTGTTTTTGTGCAATCACTTTTGAACTCCTTGGTACCAAATACAGCCCTTTTTCCACATCTACTTCTAAGTCATGACAGCAGCAGCTTATTTCTTCCACGGCAGGAGACAAGTTAGCACACAGATTACCTACCATTTGTGATTGTTTGCACTTGCCAGAGAACAGACACTACCAACAACTGGGTTTTAGTTATTAGGACTACTTTCATCTTTATTCTTTAAAAACAGAACGCAAGAAAGTTAAGAAGTTAGAAAGAAATTATAGAAGTATGTATTTTTAAAAACAATTATTTGCTCTGGTGAATCATCTCTCTAGCTGAATTGTTCATCTGAAATTCGTAACATTTTCTAAAACTGAGGACAGACTTAAAATATAATTTAAGACATGGGAGACCTTTACCTTGATAAATTACCTTGGCTATTCAGTAAGGTTGGGATAGTTCCCTCTCCTCCCTTACAGCCATGCTACTTGCAGGATGATTTCTTGCCTTCTTGACACAACAGCACAAGTACATCAGTGGTCACATAGGATACAGATAGCTAAGTCACTCCTGTCTTCCTCACAAAGCTCTCAAAAAGCTTTGTTTCAAATGGTGAAGAAATGTACAGCTGTATGTAACAAGCTGTATAGAGCCTGTATGCAACACTACTTGTGGATCTGTGAGATCCCTCCAAGGAAAAAAGCATCAACTCTTAAACAAGCAACAACCAAGAGGGACCAACGCTGTCAGCAATAACTAGCCTGCTGGCTGGTCCATTGGTTTTAGGTTCAACAGAAGTTATGCAAGGATAATGAATAGTGATGAGTGATTTGGTGTTTATTCCTGCCATCTGTTCCTAATAATAATTAAAACAATGGGCTGCACTGGTTTGGATTTGAATGTACAGGCTTCCTCCATTGTCAGTAAACTCTCTGCCTTCAGCTTCTTACCACTAGGTATCTCTAAAGAGGAGGGAGGGCAGCTGAACCAAAACAGCTGAACTGTTCTAACGTTCCGTTCCTTTCCCATTTACCTGCAGCTGACACTACAATTTGCAGATCTGTGTACAAAATGAAAGTTACAGATATAAGTACCAAATGGGAGAGTCAGTTAAAAACTCAAAGATTAATATTTATATACTGTAAAAAATGTATATTCTGTGTCTGTGACCTGATTTTAGCCCCATCTGTTTCTCTGACATCAGAACCACTCTGCCTTTGGCTGCCAGTTCAGTGTTGACAAGCTAGCGTGCTTTGGTGATCGAGGTCAGCGAGGAAAAATAAGGAGAACAATTAGAATATTAGCTTAGCTCTCCTGAGAGTGAAACTGGATGGGTGTCTTGTGTTGCGTTTTTAAACAAAACTGTCCATCTGTTAATACTGTGTCACCCTCTCAGCTGGAAGTTCTCTATATAGTGAAAAATGGATCTAGAGACCTTTCACTGCAGCACAATAGGCACCTTATACATTGATATTCAAATGTTTCACACTATAGAAGGGCATTTTAATTCTGTTTTGGCCCAACTAAGTTTTCTCCAATTCGTCAAAGCATTCATTATTTGCTTCAGTACTCTCTGAATGTTTCTTTATAATAAAGTCACAGATGTTGCTATCTCAACGGGACTAATTCACCTGAGACTGCAGTGATGTGTCAAACATTTTAGAAGTAACAGGAACTTACGCTTCTGGCTATTAAATCAACCAAAAAACAACAGCTGTAAGCCAGTGTATGTGAGCAGGAATAAATGGATGCACCAAACTGCTAAGGACTGTTGCTTGAACTCTGACAGCTTTACACATATAAAGAGCTGAACCCAAGGAACATGGAAACCAGGAATGGTAAAAAGCTTCTCACAGTAAGGAAAGGGCTCCCACCAAATCAAATCTTTCTTCCAAAAGAGGCAAATCAAACATCTAGCATTTAGTTTTTCTTTTTATTGCTTGATTAATAAACATCTTTGAGGCAAGTATCTAGAATGCTGTCATAAGAACAAAGCCTATTTTCTCCCTTTAAAGCCTCACCAACTTGTTTTAAAAACTAGAATCTTTGAAAAAATAGGAAAAAGTTAAGCTGCTCCTTCACAACTTTACTTTTTGATAACAATTAAACCACACATTTATCCTATTTTTCAAAAGTCCTCAGCAAATTTGACATGTTAAGATTCACAAAAGTAAAAAAAATATGCATTAAAAAAAGACACTTACCAAAGCTCAAGGTAGTTCTGCTTTCCATGTCTCAGTCTTGTCAAGTTTGTTGGTGCTTGATTTTACTTCATCTGTTTTTATTGGAACAGAAATCAATTTTAGATGCTCTCCGTGCCTTAAGATAATACCTTAAGAAAACTTCCAGTATTTGCAGCTAGATAAATTATTTTACCTCATCAGTTTCCAGTGCAGTACCTTCCTCTCTGGCGTTTTGTCACCTTTTCATTTAGTTATACAAATAGGTAACCATTGTGTTTTCATCCCTGAAATGTGAGGTATTGCACTAAGCAAAACAAGATACTATAAAGAAAAACATTCAACATTGCCTGTGACACATCACAGAACTTACACTGTGAAGGAGCTGTAGCTCAGCATTTCTGAGTTTGGCTCTTACATACACAGAAAAATTGTAACAGATCCTGAAAAAAAATGAACATCTTTTATTGGGAGCTTGGGCAATGGATAGAAGAGCACTTACAAATTTTAAGATAACATAAATGCATAATATTTTCCCCTCCCTAACCCTCCAATCTGGGAAAACTCCTTATGCTATCACTTTTGCTAGTTCTTTGCTTCTATACACAATAACCCAAGTCTCAAAAATTACCAGATATAGCTAATGCTTCCAAAAGCTTAGAGATTCTTCAGTTACTTACTAATGCCATTAAAATACCTCTGATAGGAAAGCAGTAATTTTAATAGGAAAGGTACTTTCAAAATTGTAAAACGTTTGCAATATACAGTTTTTACAGCACGTAATACACCATTGTAGATCTACAAAGAGGGTTGGGGTTTTTTTTAATACGCTTGTTTCTTTACCATCTCACGATCCCCTTTAAATAAATATTTAACAAAAGTGTCTCACTTCTAACAATGGAAGTAACATCACAGATAAAGAGACTGTCAACCATGTTGCAGAAATGCTACAACAAAGCCCCTTTCACCCGCCAGTCTTGAGACAGCAAATCCTGCAATTCTTCTTCATCTTCACTACCAATAGCTTCATCCTCTTTCTCTTGATTTGCTCTTAGTCTCATGGCTTCCTTTAGCTTCTCCTTCATCAGATCCTGACGGTTACGCAAAAGCTCAACACGGCGATAACATTCACTGTGGAACAAAGGAAACCACCTATTAATACTTGTGGCCTTTACACATCAATTGAATTTTCTAGAGTTGGATTTTGCTTCTCCAGCTTTGGATCAATTAAAAAATAAGCTTTCAGTATGTCAGTGCACCTTCTCTGTATTAATCAAGTAGAAACAGACCAGAGGAGAGGTGTGGTCAATCCTCTAGCACTCAGATCTAATCCAAATATTTAATAGCTGCAATACCACCACAAATCATTTTTAAAAAAGCACAGAACCAATATCCATTTCCACACAAGAAGAGACGCCATTCTTTGCTCTGTTTATGGTTTTCATATATGGTAGAAAGGTGAGATATCAATTGGCTATCAATTTTGATAACTTAGTGGTGGCATCTCTGGAAAAAAAAAAAGAAAGCAGCACAGGTGTTCAGATCTTTTATCTGCTTACTGTGTGCTATAACAGAAAATTTTAATTAAACAGAATCTACAAGTTTCAGTTTTCCATTTGCTTAAAAAGTTCTGTCCTTGAAATATGTTTTATATCAATTATTCTAGCCATTTTAACATGGTATTTTGTTGAAAATGCCAACTACTCTCAGCCTGATTTAAATACATCTTTGCTTCTTTCATTCCTATTTGCTAGGAAGAGTCAACAAGGAAAGATTATTATCTGGATCCTGTTTCCCTTTGCATATCTGCAATACAATTACTTACAGGCAGTCACAGCTGAAGATTTGAAGGCTAAGGAAAACATTAATATCACTGGAATTAATTGATTTTGAATTTAATTCAAAATAGCTTGCATTTAAATGCATTCAGAAGACAAAACTACAAAACCAGTCTTTAAAAAGCTATTTGGAACTTTTGCTTTGGGAAAAATAATTATGGTAACAAACTTGAAATTCTCTGCAAATTTCTGAAGTTGGTTCTATATACTGTAGCATCCTAAGCTACTGGTAAAAATAAATGCTTGAAGACAGCCAGGTTTAGCTCAAGCTGACTCCATATGAACATTGTTAAAAGACATCCCTGTACTACCAAAGCGCTGTTTGAACCCCACCCCATTGTTCTTACGTGCTGGTTGTGTCGCATGTAAATCTGGCCACATGGCTTAAGTGTTGCTTTAATTTTTAGCGTCCTCTTTTTGTTGCAAGGTTCATTAAAATCAGAATCATCTTTTTCTTTTCAATCCCTAGCACTGCCATAATCACTGTTAAACAATGTGTTAAGCTACATGCTAATAATGGTAACAATCTGTTCCACAAAACTGTATTTCAGGTTACTTAAGAATTTAGACTAATGTTTATCCAACTGCTACACCTACCATTTCAACAAAACAAATAAACCTACTTCATGTAATGAAGTGCATCATTCAACAAAACTGTTAAGTAAACTTTTATTAGAAACAAGGAGAGTTAGTCACAGAACAGAGCATTTTCAGTATAGCAAATGGATGGTCAAAACAGGACACTCATCAAAATTTTAATTGCAGTGCAGGCTATCCGACCTTGTTTTTAAAAAATGTTCACACAAATTCCACCTAAATCAGAATTCACAGAGAAATACAAATTGAGATATTTGACAGGGGAAGGGGGACAGTTTGTTCAAGGAACTTGCCTTCTATTGCTTTTTTTTGCCCATGTCTGCTTGCTGTATTTTCAGTGATTCTAGTGCATTCTTTCTTTGCAAATAATTACATAACTTTGCCCCAAAATTCATGTTTTTATGAGGAATCATTCTGCAATTTGAGGGAGTCTGTCTTTCTCCTTCAAATAATTAGGTGATTAATGAAAGGCAGTATGACAGAAGATTAAAATTAAAAATGTTTTCATCACTCTAGTCAAATAGTGATCCATTACTGCTGGAGAACAGAAAATTAGAGGAAAAATTGATCTACTTACATCTGCTCGTCAATTTCTCCAATCTGACGTTCTAGTCGTCCTTCCTCATCCTCTTCTGCCACTATTGCTTCTGAAACCTAAACCAGAAAAGCTCTTAAGAAAATTCACCCTCATCCTGAATTCCACCGTTGTTCCTTTTTGATGTCTGTGCTTTCCCTTCCTCCCCTCTACCTCACGTCAATGTCAATCTCCTGTATGTACACTCCCACCTTCACAAAAGACTCTGGAGGCAAATACAGAAAGAAAGCTGATCTGGTTTAATTTGAAACGGAAATGTTTAAAGTTAAAAGTAGTTTGGCTGCTTTGGGGTTAACCTTTCGAATTTTTCAATACACTACCACTTAAAACTGAGCATAAACAAACTACAGGCATCTGAAGTCTGAGGCTGAAATAGGACCTATATCCCAATGGTTAGGGCTTAATTACACAAGCTTATTGAAAGTATTGGTTAAATATTCCCACTAGATCCCGAAGTGTTTCTAACTTGTTATTTTTTTCAGCATATACTTTCTCAAATCTGAATGTCTGGGAGATGCTATGCAATCAATGGTCCACGCATAACTGAGAAGATTCCTTCTAAGCTGAAGAATTATCTGAATGGCTAATGCTAGCAAAATGTATCCACCACTGCTTTTGTATGAACATTTGCTCTGTTTATAGTGCTGACCACTTTAAAATGAGCAATGATAAGTTTTTTTGGTGTGTCACTTTTCTTAGCAGTTGACATATGAGCAATTATCTACAATTAAAAGCTAAAAAATAGCAAATACTCTAGGGAAAGATGGAGAACACCAGGTGTCTTTAGTGACAGTTTTATATTGTACAAAAGGGCAGATAAAAACCTGTTCTGGGAAGACTTTCCATGCAATGCTCAACAGTAAAAAATGGAAGTACAGAAAAATTGCGGCCAATTTATGTCTCTCATGCACAAAATCTTTTGTCACTTTCCCAAATTCTGAGTTCCTTTCCAGTACATTTAAATTAACCATAAAACCCAGGTTACCTATACTTTATAGATCCTTTTTGAAAAAGACAAGACAAATGAGTAGTGTTTTGTTCTGTTTCAATGATAAAATGTGAATATATCTCATCTAAAAAAGAGCCCACAATTATGTCCTGTTTGGATACAAGATGATGATCTGAGATACATGCTTTCTTATTTAAATACAATCTAACAAATGTAACTAGATATATATTGATGACTGGATCCTGATCAAAAGTTTTTTCAACCTGATTTCCCTGAAGTGGAAAATAGAAGGAACCTTTGCTCATTTATAAAGTGCATTTAACCATACACTGCATTGCAACAAACAGCTGACAAATGCAGATGTCAGTCACTCTGCAGAGCTGCATGAAACTGTTGTTTTCCTTATTGTGTATAGTATTTAGAATCAATAAAAATAGATTCCATTACTTACTGTGTTGACCTGTCGCATTGCCTTTTGAAACTCATCCCATTCTTTGTCCATCTGATCCTTTGGAGCATCAACTTTTCGCACCTAAGGAGCATGAAAAAACAGGCTTATTAACAGTGTATGTCTAGTGACTCTTTGGGGCACTGTAAAACACCTGGAGAAACAGGACAAATCATGCTGTGTTCTCAGAAAAGTTGGGTCAGCAGACTTCCGTTTAAGTAATGTATATGAATAAGAGAGTGCAGCTGCACCGCAGTTTTGGAGGAAAAATCTGACTCTACTCCTGGATCAAAACAACATCCTTGACTGTAGCATTAAAGAATAACTAACTAAAAATTGATGGTGTGGAATGTTTGGGTTAAAAAAAGTGACTAAGTCCATTAATTTGATGGTCTGTAATTTCACTGTCAGGTGATAACTTTTAGATTCTTCTGTAAGTTTCCTGCTCAATTGTATCTAGTAGCTATCTCACAAGCCAAAAAGCAGTGAATTCTGTGCTTTTGGCATGACATTAAATATCAAGTGACTCAGCCACTAGTCTAACTGGTGTTATAGTCTGACTATATTTCAAATCTAGTCCAATTTTGTTGGCTAACAGAAGAAATACTACAGCTATATATATATTTTTAATGACATGCAAAGCTTTTTCTTCTGTGGTAGACAGCATTAATTACTAAGACAAGAAGACTGAAAAAGTAGGAGCTGTAATAATACGTTTAAGATCTATAGCTAAGGTAATCAAAATCAGATTGTGCTTTTAGTACAAGCAAATAAACAAGATAATCTACTTGTGTAACCAAAAATTCCACAGTTCAAGACTGGAAGATGTGTCATGTAACATATCTTAGACGACAGATTATCTGGACTAGGGGGAAATTGTATAGCTAAGAGAACTAAGCAGTTTGAACAGAATAATTCATTACACTATCTTTTTGCATTAGTCTTATTTTTCCTTTATTCATTGCTCTCTTTTGGTAACACACCAGTCATCATCATGGTAAAGACGATAGTTTGGTACGTTTTGTTCCTGAACAATTATATAAAATCCAGTAGTGTTAATTAAGTTTATAGAATAAATTAGAAGCTTCCAAGCAAACTACGTACTGGGAAGTAATAGTCATCATTTCATTTTTCTGTTCTGTGATTATTTCTATCATATGTGTATGTACTGTGTTATTACGCATTGTGGTTGTCTTTTGTAATTCATAATTATTTGTATTTCTTACAATAAATTTAAACACTAAATATCTTATTTTTCCTTGAAATATTTATCTAATCCAGAATTTATACACTTCCTAAATTCCTGATGTAAAAAAACAACATTTTTTAAGCCCACAATCTCCATTCCAAAAAGCTCACTGTTCATTCTAAAAATAATTATTTTGTGTATGATTCCAACTGCAAGCATTACAATATAAGCTATGTCACAAACATTTTCCTTCCCCTGCATATACCTAAACTTAGAAAGGGCTGATTAAAAAGAACACTTGTAAGCAATTCAAGGAAGAGTTTATTGGAACATTTATCCACTTGTAAATTTTATCAGCTGAGGCAATGACCAAAACAAAGATCACTAACCAGTGTCCCCACAGATATAAGCAGATTCTCCTTTGCCTGCCAGGCATTCCCACTTCCTACAAGCTTCCCAACTCATGGTGAAATCAAGTACTTGAAAAGTGTAAAGGACCAATTATTCATATGCAAAAAAACCTCCAAAAACAAAAAAAACCCCAAACAAACAACAAACCGGCATCTTTTTCAGCTACAAAATTCAATATTCAGAATATCATTATTCAAAATTATTCACATAAGCCAACATGTGGGCATGAGTGGTGCCAAAGGAGTCTTATCAGAGCAAATAAGAGACACCTAAGCTTGTAATTGTGACAGTGGAACTAAATGAACATAAAGAGGTATTATTTGGAAGGTCTCCACATCAGAAGTCACAGTTCAACCTCGCAATACAATTTAAATACAGCCTTCCACAGTGTAAAAAACAGGGAAATATACTCAAGGAAAATAAAAAAGACTTTGAGGCTACAAAACTATTATTTCCATAAAGGAAGCAGGAAAGTCATCAAATCTGTGGTAAATTTTACCAAAAAAAAAAAAAAAAAAAGCTTTGAATTTCAAATATCAGTATTTATTTTGGTCATCACTTGATACTGTGCAAATTGAAGGAAGTATGAATGATTTTGATCAAAATCCAAGATTTTTAGTTGTGATTTTTTTGATAAACACATTGAATGTGCACCTTCCTTTTATTTTCCATCAAGCATCAAAAAAACCATATGGCAGTAAAAGACAAGAGGACTGAAAACCAAGATGACTGTAGTACACCAGTACTAGAGATCACAGTGTATGGCACAATCTACCTATTTCCATTCCAACGGATCCACAGTATCTGTTGCACAGCGACTATTAACGCTTTTCAACATGGTATGTCAAAGGACATTAGAGAACTATTTTTGTATCTTTAATTCAGAGGCAGAATCAGATGTATAAATTCAGTGAAATGCTTTTCCCAGAGTGACTCAAAGAAATGAAAATAACAGGTGGATTGTCCAAATCTCCGTCCAGTGTTTTAGTCGACAAGTAACACTTCTTTAGTTTTCTTTAAGAGTCACAAAGGAACCACAATCAAAAATACACTCTGAGAGATGATTTAACAAGCTCTTCCTGCCCCTCTCTGTCCTTTTTCATGACTTCTAATTAATACAAACCACAACAGTTTAGTCATTTTCTTATATTCTGGTATGACTACTTACCTGGAAAAGCATCTTCACTACTCAGAAAATTATTACAACTGACAGAAATAAATCCAGCAGCATAAAATAAGCAGATCACTTACTTTTGCATCCACTTCAGGATCATCAAAGAAACCTTCTGGCAAAGCTTCAGCGGTGTTTTCTTTCCTGAAAGTGTTGATTACTATTATCCCAAGTTAACACTTCACAACCTGCTTTATTGTACAGTTAAAAATAGTCAAGAATAAAATCCATAATTTTTTAATAAAAGGATCCAGAAATGAAGCAAGATTTTTTTTTACATCCTAAGTTCTACCTACAACCATCAAACTTGTTTCTTCAGTTTGGTCTTATCTAACTTACAAGGAACTGCAGACAGGTTTAAACCTTGCTGTCAAAACAAGAGCTATAGCTTAGGCTTCTTAAACTATTATTTCCAGTGTGCTGAGCACCCAAACATTTTAAAAGCACAGTCTCTGCTTCTGAAAGCCTAAACCCCTGTCTAAAACAGTGCTCCAGTGAGCACAGAACAAGCAAAAGGTTTTCTTTAAACAGTTAAAAGCAGTGGTTGACATTAAGCTTCAAACATATCCTGTGTTAGAAACTGCCATTAGAGATGTCTAGCAGACACTGTATGGATTGCTCCGTCCCTTACCCTGCTCCTCGGGTGTGAAATACCTGTCCACAATAATGACAGAAGCTCATGTATATACAGACTATTCTGAATACAAGTTAACAATATGACAGATTTCTAAGTGATCACAGTCTGTATTTCCTGGAAGGGTAATGTTTATTTGCAGTTCCCAAATCTATCAATATTTGAGTGGACTGCTTACCTTTCCACTACCTTCTCTTGTATCTCTGCTTTCTGTATGGATCCTGAATGGGAAACTATAGGAGCAGCTGTAATTTTACTGTCAAAGAAGTCTGTAAGAAAGGACAGAAGGCTATGAACAAGAAGAACTGTTCAAGATTCTTTATAAAACTCTGACTAGACAGGAATTTCACAGAATCACATAATCATTTTGGTTGGAAAAGACCTTTAAGATCACTGAGTCCAACTGTAAAGCTAACACTGCCTCCAGGGATGGTGACTCAATCCCTTCCCTGGGCAGCCTGTTCCAATGCTTGACAACCCTTTTGGTGAAGAAATTTTTCCTAATATCCACTTTAATGCACTCCCCTGGTGCAACTTGAGGCCATTTCCTCTTGTCCCATCACTTGTTACTTGGTTGAACAGACCAACCCCCACCTCGCTACAGCCTCCTTTCAGGTAGTTGCAGAGAGCAATAAGGTCTCCCCTCAGCCTCCTTTTCTCCAGGCTAAACAACCCCAGCTCCCTCAGCCACTCCTCAGAAGACCTGTGCTCCAGACCCTTCACCAGCTTTGTTGTGTTTGGACACCCTCCAGCACCTCCATGTCTTTTCTTGTACTGAGGGGCCCAAAACTGAACACAGCACTCAAGGTGCAGCCTCACCAGTGCCCACTGCAGGAGAACGATCACCTCCCTACTCCTGCTGGCCACACTATTTGTGATACAAGCCAGGATGCTATTGGCCTTCTTGGCTACCTGGGAACACTGCTAGCTCATATTCAGGTGGCCAGTACCCCCAGGTCCTTTTCTGCTGGGCAGCTCTCCAGCCACTCTTCCCCAGGCCTGTAGCATTGCATGGGGTTGTTGTGACCCAAGTGCAGGACCTGGAATTTCAATTAATACCTTACTGAATCAAAGGAAGAACAGCCAGATATTATTTCACTTGACAGCCTCAAACTATTAGAACATAAAATCAATAAGCATGCTGAGAATATACCACATAATAACAAATGAGCAAAGAATCATCTTTCTCTGCTTCCAATATTACACACCCTAACCAGCTAATAATTATTAGAAAAATAAATTAAGCCCCTTCCATCATTAGTTAAAACACAGCTTCTCCTTACTGAATCACTGCCTATTTCAGTCAGCATTACCTGCAGGCAGAGAATTAGCTGTTACTTCCTGAGTTGGAGGTGGAACTTCAGTTTTATTTGTAACAGAAGATTTGTTTGATTGATCTTGTTCCTCCTCTTCTTCATCATCATCATCATCATCGTAATTTCCTGACAATAAACTGGGACCTGGACCCTTTGAAAGCTGTTCAGTTGCACCACCTTGCTCTGTTTCATCAAAAAAATCTGCAGGTAGCCTAGTAAAGAACACACAACATAACTTTTTCAACCTTTACAAAAATAAGTTACAGCCTAGCATTCAAAGCCTATTCAATCTGTGAGCAATACAATCTTTTAGATATTGTGCAATACCCTAAACTGCGCAGCTACTGATGTAAAACACTGTCTGAAGGCAGCACATGTGGCTTTTGTTTGAAGTTCCCCAGAAATGCTCAGGTTAATTCTGAAAACACATTTCAGTTCCATTTTTGTATTTGAATATTCCTTATCAGAAACATTAATAAAAATATCCCATAACAAAGTGTATTTGGAGGAGCAGCAGCTTCGGTAATTCTATTTCTGCATTCAAAGTTATTTGCATCAGTATCACAGAATGTTGGGGATTGGAAGGGACCTCAAAAGATCATCTAGTCCAATCCCCCTGCCGGAGCAGGAACCTAAATGAGATCACACAGGAAGGCGTCCAGGCGGGTTTTGAATGTCTCCAGAGAAGGAGACTCCACAACCTCCCTGGGCAGCCTGTTCCAGTGCTCTGTCACCCTCACTGTAAAGAAGTTTCTTCTCAAGCTTAAGCGGAACCTCCTCTGTTCCAGCTCACACCCATTGCCCCTTGTCCTACCATTGGGCATCACTGAGAAGAGCCTGGCTCCAGCCTCCTGGATTCGCCCTTAACATATTTATAAACATTAATGAGGTCTCCCCTCAGTCTCCTCTTCTCCAAGCTAAAGAGACCCAGCTCCCTCAGCCTTTCATCGTAAGGGAGATGCTCCACTATACCTGCTGTGAACACATTAAATACAGAATTCATAGTTCAGCGGTCATACTAACATCACATAAACCTTGATGACCTTCATGTATTAACACAACCACTTGCTACTTATTTTGGGTACCTGCTCCTGCTCAGAACTGCAGCTCAGAAGAGCCACACAGGCAGAGCAATGAGAAAACCCAGATTTGCTTAGAATAGCCACAGGCCTCCAAGTCAAAACATTTTTCCAGGTTGTATTTTAAAATAATTATACCAATGAGTTTAATAATGAACAAACCTCTCAACTGTTAATTTTGCACACACAATCAAAATTCCCACAAGGTAAGTGTCTTCCAGTGCCAAGATAACAGCATGTAATATCTGTGCAAGGCAATAATAATTTATCCTGTGAAGAAACATCCAGGAGACCCGCAGGCCTTGTGTGACATCTACCAACCCCACAAAGATGTCCAAATTCTGTCAGAAATTTTCAGTGGCAGTAAGATGCTTAACCCAATCCCCTGAAGTCAAATACACTATATTTGTGAGAGTTCACCTGCCAGGTAGACATTTACACAAACTCTAAGTGACAAAAACATCTTAATAAAGATCTGTTGATGGCATTTGTTAGTAGTTTTTGTGAATAAATATAATTTAAATGTACATTTAAAATCTGTCTTAATTTCAGACTACTCTCTCTTCTGCAGTATGCTGGCATTAAAGATTAAGAGTGCATGCCACAATCCAGTTATTTTCATTCTAGAAAACTGCATAATGCTACCACGTATTAATCCTTAAGTCTGATAGCGACAGTAAAATAATTTCTGTTTTGTCACAGAGTCAATACCACGATTTCTCATCTGCACTAAGGAAGATGCTACTACATTCAGGAATATACACCCATGTTAGAAAATGAGCAGAAGCAGGGATCTGCTGATTCTCTGAATCTTTACCCTTGGCTAGGAAGCAGAGACAAGGAAGAACAGGGTGAGAAGGCAGCAGTTGGTACAGATACAAAAAAATAAGTTCTACTTACCCAGATGTAGACGTATGTGGCTTTTCGTCTGTACCTGTGTAACAGTCAAGAGTCACTTCTTACAACTCATATTTTTAAAACCAACAGACTCCTACTACAGCAGCAAGTTCACAAATGCACACTTTTGTATTGACACGTGCAGTAGATCCAAGGGAAAAAACTTTACCATCTTTCCTTTAGCATGAACTTTCAGGCATGGTTTGAGGTAAGCCAGTGGCTGAAAAGCAGTAACACCACTTCTGGGCTAGTGCTTCTACTGTTTAACTTACACTGTTTCAGGTTCTGTTTGGACCAAGCCTGCAGCTCCATGATCTAATTTAACCCAGTGACCCAGAAGAAAATTAGGTACCAAAAGAGCAGTTTTCTCCTGATCAATGAACTCACAGGGAAAGAGCCCAACAGACTTTTTCCCTTTTCAGCAGCAACAGGCTGACATTAAGTCAACAGTCTCATGCGTTCACACTCACTTCCACTGGAAAAAAACAAACCAAGAACATTCAAGATGTGAAATGGTTAGATTCTGGTGAGTGCTTCATACGTATTTTTATCTCCTTACCTTTTACTCTCTTTAACTCTGTATTTTCTGTGTCAATAGTTTTTCTCTTGACAGGCTGAGACGATGTGCTAGCAGCTGAACCAGCTGCTGTCTGCTTTGTGCCTTTCAATTCTGCAACTCTCTGTAAAGAAATACAAAATTCAGTAAGGTTTCTTAGCAGCTACTTCTGGATCGCAACTTAAAATACAGCACTTTTAGAACAGTTTATTAAAGTGAGCAAACATCTTTCTAGAACAAGATCACTGAAACAGACATCACGGACACTGGAACCTAGACCAATGTTTCCATCAGCCTCTTGAATGATGTGACATGGGGGCAGAGGAACTGACGCTTGCACAAGGGAGGCTGTACAAGTGAGAAAGGAAGACTAAGATCAGTGATATTTACAGCAGTAAAACAGTGGAGGAAAGAGCAGGAACACTGGATTCATCCTAAGGTCCTGGAATATTAAGTGTTTTAAAAATAAAACAGAGCAGTAGCATTAAACGTATGTCACTGTGCCCTGCCACAATTATCTACTCAAAATGCAGGCAATTAACTAGGAACCCCTCAGGCCTTTTGGTCTTTTCCTTGTAGGATTAAATGCAATCTCTCAGTTTCTGCTAAGCAGCAGCTAAATTTAACAGGATAAAAAAATCAGACCTAAGGCTGCATCCAAGTTACAAGCTCCCCGAAATTGTTTTACAAATGCTTTATCTTTACTGCTAAATTATAAAAAAAATGCCTGTTTTCTTAACGACGTGTAAGTTGTGGCTTGATAACTCAGAGGTCGTAAAGTCACCCCCAGGAGGGTTTCCACGTCACCCC